TATACATAATGGAATATCACTCAGCCATAGAAAAGAACAAAATTTTGCCATCTGCAGCAACATTGATGGACTTAAAGGGTATTATACTAAGAAAAATATGTCAAAGACAAGTATTGTATGATATGACTTATATGTAGAGTCTAAAAATATAACAACCAGTGAACATAAAAAAGCAGCAAACTCACAGATACAGAGAGCAAACTAGTAATTACCACTGGGGAGAGGGAAGTAGGGAGGGGCAATATAGGGGTATGGGATTAAGAAATATAAACTATTAAAAAAAATAAAGACAAACTATTAAGTATAAAATAAGCTACAAGGATATACTATACAACACAGGGAATATAGCCAATATAGCCTTTAAAACTTGTGAATCACTATATTGTACACCTGTAACCTATTACACATCAATTACACTTCAATTTTTTAAAAAACTAAAAACAACTTTCAAAAATGGCAACCATTTGCAACAGTGTGAGTGGACCCTGAGGGCATTATGCTAAGTGAAATAAGTCAGACAGAAAAAGACAAATATTACACGTTCACAATAGATATGTGTGTCAAATCATTATATTGTACACCCAAAACTAACACAATGTTATACTAATTATACATCAATAAAAAAAAATAGTTCTAAGCATTTAAACAAGACAGAGCACACGTTTCCTACCTGCTAATTCCCCGCACCCCGCCGCTGTGTAAGGCAGAGAGGCCCAAGACCACATGCCCTGGGGGTTTCAGACCCTTCTCCCAGGGCTCAAAATAGTTCATTGGGAATAAAAATTAATTAAGGCAAAAAGAGGGGAAATGTTGTTAAATCAAACTCTGCGGCGAAGCCCCACGGAAGGTCCGCCAGAGCGCGCCCGCTGCCTTCTCGTGGCATCTCAACCACCGCAGGCCCTGCTCTGTGCTCTGCCCTCTCGAGTCACCCCAGCTTTTGTCCTCAGTCTCTTACCTGCGAGAAGGTTTTGCATGGCCATCCCGCATCTCATTTCAGTTATTTCGGTGCATCTTCCCTGAGTCCCTAAGTCAGCCCTTCGGGGATGCCTCTGGGACACGGGGCTTCTCGCTCTGGTGTGGGGCCTGCAGTATTGATACCCGGGTCCAGCCGCCAGGGCTCTGACCCAGGCGGTTTGCGGCGGGGCCCAGGCACTGTGGGTTTTGAGCTTCCCAGGTGACCCTCAGCTGTTCTTAAAAGGCTGGGGCTTTGCTTTCTCTTGCCAGGCTTTCTCTTACCCTTTGTATTCTTCCTGCTCATCATTACAAAGAGAGAGTGGAAGCCAAGGCAATAGCTTAGATCTGGAAGTTCAACATAACACCATTGAAAGAATTTATCTCCCTTGTCTTTGGCCAGGGTTAAGAGACCTCTGGTTCTGGGCCCAAATTCTATCCTCAATGTCACCAGGTCCCAGGAGAAGTACTGACAATATTTCTGCTTATATTTGTGAAACCCTAATCACACCTTTTGCTTCCCAGGATAATCAGTGGTAAAAAAAATCTGCCTGCCAACCAGAAGCTGTGGGTTCGGTCCCTGGGTGGGGAAGATCCCCTGGAGAAGGGCATGGCAAGCCACTCCAGTATTCTTGCCTGGGAAATTCCATGGACAGAGGAGCCTGGTGGGCTACATTCCATGGGGTCGCAGAGTTTGAGCATGACTAAAGGACTTAATGACAAATCACACCTCTACATCCTAAAAGGCCACACAATGGAGCTGTGATTTCACGTAAATCATGGCCACGCATGGTAAGCTGGGTGTGTGTTTTCTTATTTCTTTGTGTCTCTACTTTCCTCTGCCCCCTCAGTTTTCTTACATCTAAAAAAAATCTTTGAATTATTATAAAATATAACCAAAATACTTCTTCATGTTGATTTAGATGAATTTTTTGATCTTTATTCTTATTTTTTTAAAGATACATTTCTCTCTGAAAGAAAAATAAATGGATTGCTACTTAGGTGGTCTCCCTCCAGTTTGTAAAGGCAGGATGGGGTGACAGAGCACTGTCCGGGAGGGACCAGAAGGTCCTGGCTTGCCTCCATCATTCACTAGCCACATGCACTGAGATGCAAGGTCACATGGGCGTCTCTATGCCCAACCAGAAAATGCGGGAGAACGTTTTCATAGCCTGTATCCACAGCCCACAGCCTCGGGTCATTATGAAAATCACATGAGCCAGTATTGGTGAACACTGTTTGGGGGGAGGGGGAATGATTCCTTTTCATCAGGTAACCAGGTATACCATGAGCTCAAATCTTTCTGCAAGAGAAATTTTCCATGCTGATTTCGGTTTCTTTGGAAACATAGCATTCATTCGTGTGATCAGAGGCCTGGCTGATCTATGGGCAACTTTTCTTTTTCTGGGATGGCTGATCAGCAATCTGTCTGCTGTTTCTGGAAGTTCCATTTCAGAAGGCGGTCCTGGTGAGACTTCATTCTGACATCTGCAAATCACATTCACAGGGAAAATGTGACACTGGAGAAGGGCATGGCAAGCCACTCCAGTATTCTTGCCTGGGAAATTCCATGGACAGAGGAGCCTGGTGGGCTACATTCCATGGGGTCGCAGAGAGTTTGAGCATGACTAAAGGACTTAATGACAAATCACACCTCTACATCCTAAAAAGCCACACAATGGAGCTGTGATTTCACGTAAATCATGGCCATGCATGGTAAGCTGGGTGTGTGTTTTCTTATTTCTTTGTGTCTCTACTTCCCTCTGCCCCCTCAGTTTTCTTACATTTAAAAAAAAACTTTGAATTATTATAAAATATAACCAAAATACTTCTTCATGTTGATTTAGATGAATTTTTTGATCTTTATTCTTATTTAAAGATACATTTCTCTCTGAAGGAAAAATAAATGGATTGCTACTTAGGTGGCCTCCCTCCAGTTTGCAAAGGCAGGATGGGGTGACAGAGCACTGTCCGGGAGGGACCAGAAGGTCCAGGCTTACCTCCATCATTCACTAGCCACATGCACTGAGATGCAAGGTCACATGGGCGTCTCTATGCCCAACCAGAAAATGTGGGAGAACGTTTTCATAGCCTGTATCCACAGCCCACAGCCTCGGTTCATTATGAAAATCACATGAGCCAGTATTGGTGAACATTGTTTGGGGGGAGGGGGAATGATTCCTTTTCATCAGGTAACCAGGTATACCATGAGCTCGGATCTTTCTGCAAGAGAAATTTTCCATGCTGATTTCGGTTTCTTTGGAAACGTAGCATTCATTCGTGTGATCAGAGGCCTGGCTGGTCTATGGGCGACTTTTCTTTTTTCTGGGATGGCTGATCAGCAGTCTGTCTGCTGTTTCTGGAAGTTCCATTTCAGAAGGCGGTCCTGGTGAGACTTCATTCTGACATCTGCAAATCACATTCACAGGGAAAATGTGACTCACTTGAGTAACTGTGTTAAGTTTTCATGGATATTGTTCAGGGAGTAGGTGTTGTCTTTGGGCCAAATCACTTGAAATCATCATGACATCAGCCCCTTCACTGAAAGACCAACTGTGCCCCACAGGAAGCAGGGGAAATGTGGGGACTGGGACGCAAGGTTTACTCTAAGAAAAATCACTTTCCTAGCCCTCCCGAAGTATTAGCTCTAAGGCAGTCAACAAACACAACGGAGCACCCCGAGTCCAGGAGGAGAGCAGTGAAGGGGGACCAACCATGTCTGGGACCCCCATAAACATCCCAATACAAACTGAAAGAGCTAAGGTGACTCAGCTGCCACGAATGGGGAGAGACAGACAAAGCCTGGTTGAAACCCCATGGATGAGGAGCATAGGAAATTCTCCTCCTCACACCCTTTTGTGGCTACACCTGACATCACTAACTGGTCACCCCATTGTCTGCAAGTGACCCTGGACACAACTCCAGAATCCTTCGCCACTCAGTTTAAACAGCTGCTACCAATCAATCCAGGATGTTAACTGCATGTTCCCAGTGAAATGGTTTCAGTTACCAAGTCAGTGCATGGTGTTACTTGGTCAGACACTCAGATCACATCTTCCTCCTCGTCTTCATCATCATTGTCACCTCTGTACCTGTCATCATAAAGCAGATAAGAAGAGGCTCCTGAGGGGCCTGCAGGCAAACGGGGGACCAGCCTCCACCTCCTCTAGTGCAGGCTTTCTTAAGGCAGCTCAGTGGGCTGTGATAAGTGAAAGGGAAAGTTGCTCAGTCGTGTCTGACTCTTTGCGACCCCATGGACTATACAACCCACAGAATTCTCCAGGCCAGAATACTGGAGTGGGTAGCTGTTCCCTTCTCCAAGGGATCCTCCCAACCCAAGGATCAAACCCAGGTCTCCCACACTGCAGGCAGATTCTTTACCATCTGAGCCACAAGGGAAGTGGTAATGCAGCTGTCAAAGCTGGTGGGCCAAAGACAAGGCCACCTGCCCTCCTGAGGTAGATTCATGAGCATCTCTTTCCACTGCAGCCAGATGAAGACTTCTACCCTAGGCTCATGCCAAGGCATCTCTAGTATACAAGCTGGAAAAGAATATGTTGTTAAGGTGTCAGTGGAGGGCAGACGTAGGACAAGAGGAAACTTTTTAAAAACATGCATGGCGAAAACCACCACAATATTGTAAAGTAATTAGCCTCCAATTAAAATAAATTAATTAAAAACATAAATCCCATTTAAATAAATAAAAACATTATTTTTAAAGGAATAGAATAAAAACCCTAACTTGTAAGTCATCAGTTTCAATTACTCTCTAATTCAGTGCTGGAGAAAAATAATGTACCCAATCAAGTTAGAGAAACTCAAGTGCCCTGGGCTTCCTAGGTGGCACTAGTGGTAAAGAACATGCCTGCCAATGTAGGAGATGTAAGAGATGCAGGTTTGATCCCTGGGTCCGGAAAATCCCCTGGAGGAGGGTATGACAACCCACTCTGGTATTCTTGCCTGGAGAATCCCATGGACAGAGGAGCCTGGACAGACTGTAGCCTGACAGGCTACAGTCCATGGGGTGGCACAGAGTCAGACAACAACTGAAGCGACTTAGCATGCATGCATGCAAGTGGCCTGGATTCATCAGGAAACACAGACCACTGTACGGAAATGAATGGACTCACCACTGAGCCCTCCAGCACTCCCCACTGGACGGCCAGGCTAACAAGGAGCTGAGGCATCAGGATAGCCAACTACATGTGCTGTGGGTGTGTGTTCACACAGCCTGGTCCAACGTGAGTCTGAGGCGACAGGGGACAGGCTCTGAATCATTAACACTTGTCATCACCCTTGGTCTCAGCAACCTCTGTGAGAAACAAAGATTCCCAGGGCAGTGAGTCAATCACTAAGACCAGAAAAATCAGAAAGAACAGAAGTTACCCCATTTCAAGACTGACCAAGAAGCAGGCTGTGAGTACACCCCCACTGAATATCCAAGGTCCTTCCTCTAGAATCTGAACGGTGGATGCGAAGAGGGGTTGGAGACCTGAGCTTGTTCAAGAGCTGCCCAGTAGGGTAAATATGGACCTCAAACTTTGGAATCCTAGGCCAAAAGGCACTAGACCCCCAACTCTAGCTTCATTTGGGCTCTATATTCCAGATGTGATAGAAATCAAGGCCGGGGGTGTGATAAGAAAGGAATTGAAATGTTTTAGACATAGAGAAGAGGAATACAGGATACATATGGGAGGAGGAGGCTGATGAGAAGGTAGTAGAAATGTCATTAATGTCTCCTCATTCCAGAGCAAAGGGGCTGCGGCTCTGTACTTAGCTCTTTTATCCCGGCAAACCAGTCAACACATGGCAACTCAGCCTGGGCCTGTGCTTCCCCAGAATCAGTCCATCACACACTTCTGGAAGGGAAAGGGAGGGTCAAATGACGGACCTGCCCAGGTTTGCTGGGACTTTTCTGATTTTAGCATAGTAAGTCCTGTGTCCTGGGAAATCCCTCAGACTTGTGCAGACAAAACAGTTGGGCACTCTGCCAGAAGGGAACGAGGGAGGCAGGAAGCCAAGGAAGAGGGAGGAAGGAGTGAACTGAAGGAGGTCCAGTGCACCCGGCATGGGAGCAGCCCACCTTCTCAGCGAGGTGGTGTCAGCTGAGTGACCGTGTTGTAGCAACGCGTGCCGGGAAACAAACTCACTCAGGACAACGCAGACAGTGGCGGGCCCAAGGCAGAGTCTCCTCTTAGCCAAGGACCCCGACCAGTTTTTGTGAAAACCTTATACACCCTAAGTGTACTTGCTCAAACCCACCTCCCCAAGTTCCTTGAAACTAGTCTGGACAGGGTAAAAGAGAGATACGATCAAAGGTAACCCATGATTCATGTGTCGTAAGACTAGATAAACAGCGGACATTTATCAATAGGCCTGTGGTCATACCCCGATAAACATAAAGGAATTTACAGAGATAATTAGCATATTCTTTCAGGCAACGGAGAGAACAAGCACAAGTCCTGAGGGTCCGGTTTCCCATTGGTCTGCCACGTCTATAGACACCGGGTGCAAAGTTCAGAGTCCACTGGGCGGGTGACCATGCGTGTGGCCTGATGTTCACAGCCTGGCCTAAGACGGAGCCCAGCTCTGTTTCCTCCTTCAGCCGGTGAGCTGCTGGGGACTGGGGAACATTCCATGAGCTCATCCCTGTAAAGGAGAAAAGAGACGATGGGCCAGCCATGATCCAGTCATAATGGAATTCTGAAAACAGACTTATTATATCCCTTCAGGGAGCATCTGTTGAGCACCTGCCCTTTGGCAGATTCCGTGCTGGATGTTGAGAACAGGGAAGAAGTAAGGCCAGGCCCTGCCTTCCGGGAGCCAGAGGAGGCAGGACATGCCGAGGGAACCCGCCGTGTGCGTCCTGCTTCATCCCCTGGGTGAAACTCTGCGCACACTCACAGTGGGCAGCCTGTCTGCTGGGGTGGCAGACACCCCATCCACTTTGGGGATCCAAGCGAACGGCATCACTACCTCTGAGACGGAACTTCACTGTGCATTCCCTTGTCTGCAAAACCCACAGTGTAAGAGGGCTGTGGGCTGGTTGGTTTCAAGCAACATGTAGGCCTTCTTAAAGTGCTTCCCTGGTGGGTCAGCTAGTGAAGAATCCACCTGGAATGCAGGAGACCTGGGTTCAATCCCTGGGTTGGGAAGATCTCCAATATTCTTGCCTGGGAAAGCCCATGGACAGAGGAGCCTTGCAGGCTACAGTCCATGGGGTCACAAAGAGTTGGATTCGACTGAGCAACTAAGCAAAGCATAGCACAGACCTTCTCAGAGGGCGGTTGAGAGGATCGCCAGGTCCCTCATGTAAATTAGACTTGATATCATGGCCAGATGGACATGAAGCTGCCAGGACCTGCGGGTGGCCAGCACCAGGAGGAGAAGGATGCGGGGTTTCCATTGAGCTCAGGGCAGACGGAGCTAATCCCCAGGTATCAGCACTGCCTGCCCCATCCCCAGCCCTCTGGGGCCCCTGGCCAGGCAACTGTCTCCTTGCCCAGGGACGTGGCACAGCCGGGCCCGGGTCACCGCACAGTGTCCTGCCTCTTTCTGCTTTACTCCTGATCTTCTGTTCTCAGACCCAAGTAGCAGCCCAATAGGGCTGCTGTGGTGACTATCAAGGCCCACAGAATAGAGACTTGGAAAATGATGAGTGCAGCTGACTGTCTACCTCTTGGTTGGTATCCAACCTGTCCCGAGAGTCAACCTCCACAGATCTGGTACTGTATCTATTTGGATCTTAGTAACAGAGGACTGATTTCCTCCCTAAACTCAGGCCCCACCCAATCCCCTACAGGGCATTCAGAGAGTGGATTGGTTTATACAAAGAGAAATATCATCTCTTTCAGTTGTTTCAGATCTCAGAAACATCGTAGGAGGCACTCTGTTTTTACAGATCAGAGGGAAACAGACATGGAATAAGTCTCAGAATTAAGATAAAAATCACCAAGCTTATAAATGATTTCTTTCCCTCTCCTTTTATCTGTTTATAGAATTTCTCCTTCCTTCCCTCCCTTGTTTCTGGCCAGGAGCTGGGATTTTCTGCCTTCTGGGAATTCACATGTAATTAGTTTATTACTATTCTAAAAGCAAAGCAAAGACTTGGAGTTCAGCTCCTTAATAAGCAGGGTCATACATAGATAAAACTCTTCCTCAATTTCCTGCCCGTTGTATCTCATATTAACAAAGTATTTAAACACAGTATGCTCAGCAAAGAGGGAGTAATTGGGAGGGCCCGAGGGGAAAGAGGAAGGAGTAATTAGAAAGCCTTTACAGAGGAAGTGACCTTCAAGTTGAGATTTGAAGGATGAATAGGAGTGTTGTTCAATTGCTAAGTCGTGTCCAACTCTGCAACACTGGACTGCAGCCCACCAGGCTCCTTTGTCCTCCGCAATCTCCTGGAGTCTGTGCAAATTCTTGTCCATTGGGTTGGTGATGCTATCTGACCATCTCATCCTCCGCCACCCCCTTCTCCTTGAGTGTACTAGTAGTTAAACTTGAACACAAATTCTCGCACTTCCAGGGTAAACACAGGGCTCTGTGTGTAGTTCACCACCCAGGCTGGGGTGCCTCCTTCCACAGACTCTCCGGCCTGCAGTCGGAGCTCACGTCCAGACTGCTGCCCTTTCAGATGCCGTCCGATCCCATATTCCCCGTCTGCAGTGGGGATAAGAAAGAGAACTAACATTAAGTAATAAGCTTTTCTAAATTAAAGGTTAAGACAGAAAGACTGTGTTCACACATAACTAGAAACTTCCACTAGCCCAAAGGCCCCATCCCCCAAGCTGGCCGGCTAAGGGAGCTTTGGCGGCCTCTCTCTGTTTTGCGTTCTTCCTCCTGTTGGCTCCAAGGCTCCAAGGGCACCCTTCCTTGGGGTGCCCGTGCCCCGTCTCTGCAGCAGCACCTTCCTGCCTTCCTCGCTCCGCTCCGCCCTCTCACTTGCCAGTGCCTGACTCAGCGGAGATGTGTGGGATCGGGCAGGGAGTGAATCAGCGAGTGGAGACTCAGAAGGAGCTGCACCGTCCACGTACTCCTCACTCGCTAGGGTGCCCCGAGTGCCCCCCCAACTGACCACTTTGGGTGAACCTATTTTTGTAGGTGTGGCCATAGTCCCAGGCTCCAGACTTGAGGATAAGAAGGCAAAGCTCATGGGATGGACAGTCAAGAGAGATTTATGGTTCTGAGGGAGGAGATTGGAATTTTGACAAGACACAGCTGGCTGAGGGAGTGAGCTGGAAGATTCCGCCCTGGGGTGAAGAAGAAGGGGGGATAGTCTTTAAATAGCAGGTGGCTTCACTGTTTCTATAAATGAAAACAGTTTTCACTGAACACTGATTACGAAAATGGTCTTTTATTAGATAGCTGCCTCAACCCAAAGGACGGCCCTGGAGGCGCTGGCTGGGGAACGTTCCCTGCAGCTCATAAACATGGTTGACTGCACCTCGCCTCACGCCAGGAGCATTTCTTATTTCTTTCTGCTCAAGGACTCTGCATGGGCCAGGAAGCAGAGACCCGTGGGGGTAGAAGGACAGTATTAGGCCAGGGCTCGGCTTCAAACACTGCCAGATTTAATTATTCTTGCCATTTATGTACTTATCTGAGAGTCATTCATCCTTCTTTTGAGGAGACTGAAAAAGAGATCCATGTGTTCTGCCTTGGGGTCTGGGGGAGGGCAGGGAAGAAGGCTCTGGGAAGGGCAGAGCTTGTGAAGATACCAGCAAGTCTTCTCTCCATAAAGCAGAGCTGAATGTAATTCGTCTCTCCTTTCTTTCCTTAACTGAAAAAGCCCTTCTGAAATGACCGAGGTGGCAGGAGATGGAGGAGCTCATCCGCTCTGAATAAACCACTTGCCCTCCAGCCTCCTTGCTTGGAGGAAGCTGACCCCAAGGTCTCGTGCCAGGCTGGAGGAGCCCACTCTACTCACCAACTTCCCAGGGAAGCATGGCTGCCCAAGTGGTTGAGAAAGCAGACAGGCATGAATCCAGACCTTACCGCCAAATCCCCACACCGAGCTGGGGGTCGCTGGTATTTCCCAAGAAGGAGTGAATAATAACAGCTGACATTTATTGAACACATACTATGCGCCAGGCACAGTGCGAGACATTTTATATCCATGAGCTCATTTCATTCCAACAACTCCATGAAGTAAGTTCTATGTTCAGAGGAAGCTGCCAAGAAGAGAGGAAAAGAACTTGCTCACAGAGACACAGCTGGTTAGTGACAGAGCCAGGCTTCCAACCCAGGTTGGTCAGAAGTCTAACAGTCTTAACTACCCCCTACACTGCCTCCCTTCACGCCAGATTGGAAAGGGGCTCAGAACATGCCAACCTCAAACAGGCCACTTTGGCAAATTAACTATTTCAAGGTAAAGGCACTTGGAAAACTACAAGAAGGACACTCTGACTGTCCTTCTTTTTCTTAAAAGCAGGAGATGGAATTCTCACATGAAAGATGTCTTCCTCATAGAAAACAAACTTCTGGTTACCAAAAGGGAAAAGGTGGGGAGGGATAAATTAGGAGCTCAGGATCAACATATATATACACACTACTATTCACTGGAAGGACTGATGCTGAAGCTGAAGCTCCAATCCTTCGGCCACATGATGCAAAGAGTCAGCTCACTGGAAAAGACCCTGATGCTGGGAAAGATAGAAGGCAAGAGGAGAAGGGGACGACAGAGGAAGAGATGGCTGGATGGCATCACGGACTCAATGGACATGGGTTTGAGCAAGCTCTGGGAGATGGTAAAGGACAGGAAAACCTGGCCTGCTGCAGTCCATGGGGTCACAAAGAATTGGACACAACTGAGCGACTGAACAACAACAATATGTAAAGTAGATAACCCACAAGGGCCTACTGTACAGCACAGGAATTCAGCTCAACATTTTGTAATAAACTATAAGGGAAAAGAACCTGAAACAAATATCTGAATCACTTGGTTCCACACCTGAGACTAACATTCTGTTGTAAATCAACTACATTTCAATAAAATTTTTAAAAAATAATAGAAAGATGTCTTCCCTACACCAGAAGGAAGTAACATTCGTGTCACCAAGGATAAGCTGAGATGGAGTGAATTCTACACAAAAAGATCTTAATAAAAAAATTCTTATCTTCCATTCGCCTCCCCACATAACTTACATAGTTTCACTTTACAACTGCCTCTCTCTGTTTAACCTGATGTAAAAGCAAGTAGGTTTCACCTTTTGGGGTCTTCATTTCTTAATGAGGGCTCCCAGGTCACATAAAATTCGTGTTAAATAAATGTGTATGTTGTTCTCCTGTTGATCTGCCTTATGTCCATTTAGTTCATAGGCCCATTCAAAAAGAACCCTAAGAGGGCAAAGGCCAAAGTTTGCCTCCCCTACAGCTCATGACCAAAATTCACCCTGTTCTCCCGCCCTCACTTTATCTATGCATCTGCCTTCCCAGGCTTCCCTGTGGACAGGTGGTACTGCAGTGGGGACTCTCTGTAAACAGCAGATTTCCTTGGGCAGGTTTGCTTAGTATGGGACTTTCTGCTGAGATATATCAGGGATATTACCACTTTGAAAATGCAAGCAGAAGGTGTGGGCAATCCATGTGCTAGGTGGCAAAAAGGGGTGTGAGAGGCTACCTAGTTGAAGTACCCTCTTTAGAAACCTGAGAGGACAAGGAGACCATAAACGAGGTCATGACCCTATCTAACTTAAGTCTCTCCAAGAGACAGCCTGTGTCTAGAGGCACCTCATTCAAGAATATCTCACAGAATGAAGGCCTCTCTCAAATGTACATGTTGTAAAGCCATTTCAGCCAACTGAGGAAAATTGATTTCTCAGCATGGAAAGAGAGTTGACAGAAGCCCTGGAAAAAACACCAGGTCTTTCTTGGACACTTAGTCAAATAAATTAACTTGGAGGCTCAGCTGGACTCCCCAGGCAAAGAGTGTGCAGCTTTGAAAACCATTCTTCTTCCCCCCAGAGGGATCATAGGCAAACAGACACCCAAACATTCCAGAAGCAGGCCTCACAGGCCTCCTGCGCTGCGTCCGTTCCCCAAGGAGAGCAGCAGGCAGCTCATTCACTTCCCAGATGGTGGGCTTTGGAAGACAGGGGCTGGCTACTTCCCAAGCCCTTTCCTGATTGCCTGACTTTGGCTTGGGGACCAGGGTGGAGGCTGCTGCTCTGAGAAATGCATTTGCTGTTCGGTTGCAAAACATCTCCAAGTGATTGATGAACCAGCCCCAGGGAAGAAGAAATAAGTCACCAGCATCTGAAATACAGCCACCTCGAGAAGAAAATATTTCACCCTTTCAGGAAGCCCCAAGACACATGGACATTAATCAGAAGAGAATGACAGAGGATCAGATTCCACTGCAATAGTAGGGACAGAGGGTGGGCAAACAAGAGCCACGGTCCTCGTAAGGAGATGAATAAACCGAGACCTTTGCTTTCCCCGGAGGCTAAATGTCCCTAGAACTTGATCCAGTCCCCGTCAGCACCCACAGCTCTTTCTTGGCAGATGCTGTAGGCCAGCCTTAGGACGTCAGGTGGCAGCCCTCCAGTCCGCAGGTGTTAAGGTCACACATGCTGCTGGCTCAGGGCACACTGCTGGCTTGGGACAGAGCTGAGTCCAGAGCCGGCCCCTCAGGGAAGCCACCAGCCTTGTTCAGGCCAGATCACCAAACTCTGTGTCCCCACTTTGTGACTTTGTGATGACAAGGTCACCTCTCTGGGCCTTGGATTCTTTTTGTAGAGAAGGTAGGGATCAGGGCTTCCCTGGTGATTCAGTGGTTAAGAATCCACATGCCAACGCAGGTGACCAGGGTTTGATCCCTGATCCAGGAAGACCCCACGTGCCCTGCCCGGAGCTACGAAGCCTGCGTGCCATCACTATAGAGCCTGTGCCCTAGAGCCTGGGAACCGCAACTCCTGAAGCCCGTGTTCCCTAGAGCCACCGCAGTGAGAAGCCCACCACAGCAACTAGAGTAGCCCCTGCTCACTGCAACTAGACAACAGCCTGTGAAGCAGCGAAGACCCAGAACCACCAAAAGTAAATAAACACATTTCTTTTTTAAAGCTAGGGATCAGACTAGACATGTGTTGCCACACCTTTATAGACTAAATACTACAAGACACTCAATAATACATAAAACAATTTCAAATAGACCTTCTTCAAGTTTGGGGTCCCGAGACGATGACGAGTTTTGTCATTCACATTCCAGCTCTGTCACCTACTAGCGCTGGGACCCTGAACAAGCTGCTAATCTGCCAAGCCTTAGTCTTCTCATCCCTACCTACTTCACAGAGTGATTATAAGGAGTGATGCACGAACAGCACTTCATACCGA